ATTGACATGAGTAAGAAATTACATGCTGCTGTTGTAATTCACTGAGACTTGGAAATTGTGACTGCAGCATATCTTAGTCCAAACGGATGAGTATGGAGAGTGAACTTAGTTTCCAGCTTTCTAGTTCCATTCTCTCTGTGAGTTGATTTTGTTTCATTTCCCATGAATTCCTCTGAGATCACCTAAGTGGGGTTATAACCAACAATCCCTCATAAAACTGACAAAAATGATATTATGTAGAACTATTTCATTCGTAAACGTTTATCTTGTGATGAATCTTATCCTCTGTGCCAAGGTTCAGTTATATGCATACACACACTTTGACAAGTGTTTAGGTGAGAGAAGTGCAATTTATTGTATTCCTGGCAAAGGTAAATTTTGTCTGTGCATTATCTTATTACTTAATAACAGATGGCTGTGATCATTTTCTCTTACTTTTTGCAAACTGTGATTTGACCCTGAATTCCAATTAATAGCATCTTTTCGTGGCATATACAGGAAGAACAATTTATAATACCTCAACATAATAATAATATCTTCACTGGAGAATCTGAAAAAAACCTGAGTCATATCAGTTATCATTTTTAGCTTCATTATTGAAAAACAAGATACCTTCATTTAATATACAAATAAACCTTTGGGTAGCATTCTTATTCCCTGAGCTTTCTCTCTGGACCTGTAATGATGTAGTTCCCTCTTTTAGGCCACCATCCAGAGTAGCCTCTGTACTACACTCTGTGTTCTGGAAGGAGCAAGCAAAGTACTCCAAGCTGGGGGGTGAGATTTTTATGTAGTAGTTGTTGACTAGTGAGACAATAACTTCTGTTTTATTAAAAAACCTTCTCCTGGGTCAAACTGAAGTTAGTAAGTTGTAAACATTTACTTTTTTTTTCAAAATACCTCCACAGTATAGTTTTAGCTCCTTTGCATCCTTGTGGGTAGGAAGCACAGAGAGGTTATGAGACTTGCTTTACGTTACCAGCAAGTAAGTGGTAACATCAGATCTGGAACCCAGATCTCCTGTCATCTAGTTCTTTCCATTATGTCTCAGTACAAAGAGAAAAATTTTGTTTATCTGTAACATTCTCCTTAATGCCTCTAAGAATGTTTACATTGCACACAGAATGTTCTGATTGGACTAGAAGGAAACTTTTTAAAAATTAAAAAACATGAACATATGCTACCTGTTACATTTACCACGGTAATGTCTTAGATTATGTTGTGTTTACTGTTGATATATAGTTAACTGAATATCACTTTAGTTACATTAAATAACACATTTTCCTACAGAAATATTTGACGAGATGTCACCATACTGCAAAGCAGATATTTTTTCCCCAGGATACTTTGAAAAACAAAGCATAACAACTGACAGTTTATTTTAAAATGTTGTAAATTGCAAATCATCATCAACAACAACAAAAAAGAAGATAGAAATAACATTTGAGAATGAATGAATAGTCAGTGTTTAGGATGCAAAGAAAAAGTAAATCCTTGCTCAACAGCATAAACACAAAGCTGGCCACAAATATATCACTGATTCAATAATTGATAAAACACATCAGGAATCAAGAATAATGTTAGATTTAGGAATGTGAATTGCTAAAAATTACAAAGTAATAATAATGATTACAATGATCTATTTGAAAGTATCTACAAAATGATTTGTTTTGTGTGTGTACAATTCTTTATACCAACCTAAATTGGATAAAGGAACATAGCAAGTGCTGATACTAAATAAAAACTAATAGCAGATATTTATCTTTTAATGCCTCTTCTTGCATTGCAATTTTCATGGATTTTGAAGGTCATATATGTCTGAAAAGTATTTTAATTTGGTCAATTGACAACAGATATATTTTAACTAGTTTTTAAAATTATTTAAAAATAACTTCAGTCATTTCTTCTTGAGTAAGATAATGACTTAGTGTCCAAGGGAAATATTTATTCACTAGAGGTCCTATGCACAAAATTCGTGAAAGGGGCTTGGCCCTCGCAGCCCTGGCTTCGTCCAGAAGGTCGTTCAGCTGTTCAGTCTAATTAGCATATTATGCTTTTATTATTATAGATAAGATTTTCTTTATCATTAGAAATGGCTAATTAACATGGTAGACTGTTAATTTAAAACTTTCGGGTCTAGTAATCACCTGTGTAGAGAACTAATTGTCCAACTTTGGGAGAATTAGTTAGTGTAAATCTTTGTTCTTTTATGTCTTAAAGAGCATAAAAATTCCAGCCCATGAGCTTTTTGTGAGGAGGATAGAGGTATCATTAACTATATGAGAAAGATCAAGCGTTAACACATTAACTACCCTATTAAACAGATAACATGGGGGAGTAATGTTTGTTGTTCATCAACAGATGGTAAGTGAATGTTAAAATCTGTCATTCTTCTTCCTTATTTTTTTCTTGGAAGTTTAATAATCCTGATATTGACTGACCAAATTTATACCTATTTACTATTTACTATTTTGGAAAAAATCTGCATAAGATTAGAGAAGAAATTATCTTTTAAAAAAGCAAACCAATATTCCCTTCTTAGCCTATTTAAATCTCAAGGGCTTGAACATTATTCTTTTTTAGCAGGCATCTAAATTTCAAACCAGTCCATATTACAGAGTCTACTCACAGCTTCCCATTACTGATAAAACAAATGGTTTAACATTTCAAATCTGCATGGGGCTAGACAGGTATAAAGGTTTTTTTTTTTAGTCTTAATGGATAAAGTACTTTAGGCTCTTGTTCACAGAAAAATAATGCTCTTGTTTGACCATCCTAATTAGTGTGTGGCTCCAAGTTCTTCTTTCCAGATAGGGTGATTAATTTCTTAGTTCCAAGGATAGAAAGGCAATTCAGCATAGCAGTTTAAGAGTGAATGCACACAATTAAATGAAAACTGACTGTGAACTAAATTTTGAAAACACTCAAAATTGTCATTTAAAAACATTTAAATTGAAGCATTTTCAAAATAATGGCATGTGCCTAGTGGAGCTCAAATTTGTGCTGAATTAGATCTCCAGCAAGACTAATATGGTTTAATAGGTTATATGTGAGAACACAAATGACTGTAAATGTGGATCGTGTGCAATTAATATTGAGTTGAGAAACCCTCCCTGATTGCTGAAAGTGGTGTGTGTGATTTTTTTATTCTGTAAATAAAATATCAATGGCCTCTCTCAAAGGCCAGGCCTAAGGAATGCTGGGAAATCCTGAGTGGGGGCATAGCTGAGGGGACTGAACACCATCTTTAGGCCCTGCCTTATCCCTGGGCTTGCAATGAAATGATGTGAAGAAACCCTCCCTACAACAATCTGGAACCCCTGCCCTACCCTTCACACCCCCACTGAATGGATTACTTAAAAAGTAGAAGCCACATTTATGTACATCTCAAGAATGGTTCCCTTCCTTCCAAGCCCTATGGACATAACATTATAAAGATCTCTTTCCTCTTTTTTAAAAAATTATTTTTATTGATGTATTGAAGGGAGAGGGAGAGAGAGATAAAAACATCAATGAGAGAGGATCATTGACCGGCTGCCTCCTGCACACCCCTCACTGGGGACTGAGTCCACAACCTGGGCATATGCCCTTGACCAGAAAGGAAACCGGGACCCTTCAGTCCGCAGGCCAATGCTCAATCCACTGAGCCAGACTGGCCAGGGCAGATCTCTTTCCTCTTGAAGCTTATTCTCTAGGGTATGGGCATGGAGGGAGAGGAGGGAAGCAGCAGACATACAAAAAGAACACAATTAAAACATATAGCATGCCAGATAGTGATAACTTCTACTGAGAAAAATAAAGTAGGAAGGAAACGAAAGGATGTCTGAGATGGTGGCAGCAACTGTGGTCAGGAAGATCTGCCGACAAAGGTGACATCTGAGCAAAGATCTGAAGGAGGCAAGAGAGTGAGCCACTTTGATATGGGGATAGCACGTTGGGGAAGAGCACCTTGGGCTGAGGGAGCATCTGATGCAAAGGCTCTGGGGCCAGAAGGTGCCTGGTGCTGGTTGAGGGACAGCAGGAGGGACATTGTGGCTGGAGCAGAGGGAATGAGGAGGAAATGACATCGATGAGGCAGGTCAAAGGGGAACAAGTCATGTAGGTGTTGGTGGAAGCCATCAAAAGAGACCAGAAAGATAAATCCGGTAACAGGTGTCTCAAAGTTTACACAGAGGAAAGGGATTGAATCTTGGACAAACGGGTGGGTGGGAGGTTGGCAGGACGGGGTGACCCTGGGAGAGACGCTTGCCCAGCCTTCAGGCCTTGACTGCACCTAACCTCAGGTCCAGCTACTCCAGCCACAGGTCCCTGGGGAGGGTCGGAATCTAAGCCTGCAGGCCCAGGTGCCAAGGCGACCATAGCATTTAGGATTTCCCCACCCCACTCCTCACTCCTCTGCCTCCCGAGCGCAAAGCACCGGCCCCCACGGCAGCCCCTCCAGCAGGTTCTTGGCGTCTGGGCACGCGCGGACTCATCAGTATTCCGCCCGTGGCTTTCTCTCGCCCCCACGGAGACTGTGGCGCCTGCCGATCTAACAGCTCCAGCCCCCGGGGTCCTCGCCACCCAACCGCCCCCACCTGCTCCCCAAGGACCATGGCCAGAGCCCAGCAGCCTGCTTTGCCCTGGAGCGGCCCTGGCGGCCCTGGGCACTGGTGCTGCTCTGCCCAGTCACGCAGCGCTTTCCCGCACGCTGGCCTCAACCGCAAGCGGCACGTCTGCTGCGGAGAGGGGGCGCCCTGCGCCTGGATCACCCGCAACGCCCCCGGGAGACCCGCTCTAAGGCATCCCCGCAACAACTCTCTGGGGATAGTCAACTCCAGTGTGCTCGGTTTAAGATCCGCCTGCGCTTCCTGCAATGCACCAGACGGGGGAAGCAAATGCTGTAGGCACCTGCATTGCGCCCCCGCTGGGATGCACTGTGCGCAAAAGAGGAGGACTGTCTGCGCAAAACCGAGGGATCGGAGGCGCGGGGAGATAGGGGTGGGTTTCTTGGGACTCACCTTGTGCAGTTTCCACATGGCCCCCAGAGCCTTGACTTCGTGGCTGGAGTGTTTGCCTTCCTCCAAGCATTGATAGCACACGGGCATCTTGCACTGCACGCAGTACATGCTGTGGTTCTCCAGCTCGTGGTCTGTGCAGGTGGAGACCTTGCGCGGGCTCAGCCGCCGGCTCACGCGGCCCTGGGCCGGAGGCACCAGGCGGTGCTTGGCTAGGGGGCCCCGGGGCGGATGGCAGCGAAGGCGGCACGGATCGCAGTAGAAGACATCGCACTGTTCGCACATGACGGTGGCCTCCTTGGGCGCCTTCTCGCAGAGCTGGCACTTGAGGGCCGCGGCTTTGCTCTGCTGGTAGCGGTCAATTACCCCTTCCAGGACGCGGTTCTTGGGGAAGCCACGGAGACCCCGGTCATCCAGGATGAGACTGCGGTGGCACTGGGGGCAGGTGATACAGGAGTTGCGGGGCACCGGGGCCAAGGCCGGTGACAGGTGGGTGGCCGGTGGCGGCATAGCCGGGGGGAACACGCGGACTCCGTTGGGGGACTTCTGGCACGGAGTAGTGGGGGCGCTGGCAAAACCCCCATAGGAGCCATAGCCGCTGTCCGCTTCGCTGTACAGGCTCATCTTGTCCAGATCCAGGTAGTCATAGTCGGAGACCCCGGAGCCCGAGGCCCGACGGCTTTGGGGGGACTCGGACTCCGGGGTTTGCACCAGGATGTTGCGAGCGCACGCCTGACATAAATTGTGGGAGCAGGGCAGGATGATGGGCTCCCGATAGAAGGACCCGCACACGGGGCATTTTAACTCTTCTTCCATCTCTTCCATGGGGACCCGGGTGGGAGCGAGGCAGCCGCGGCTGCAACGGGCAACTGAGCTGGCGAGGTGGCCGACAGGTAGGTAGTGTCCAGCACCTTGGCCAGCGGCGGCAGCGAGTCCCGCGTCGCCGAGGCGCGGACTACCTGTGAGACGCGCTCCCTGTGAGCTGCTGCACCGCGGCGCCCGGCCAGCCCGGGACCGCCCACTTCTGCCCTCCTAGTCCCGCCCCTGCCTGTAAACAGCGGTCTATTGGGCGGCAGGCAAGAAAGCGAAGCTGTTATTGGCCAAACGCCCCGTCCCTCCCCCTCCTCCGCAGGCTGGAGTGGATTTGGTGGAGAATCTGAGGACGGGGGAAGTCTGCGCTCCCCGCTGCATGATCCCGGGAGGGGGCTGGCGTGGGCTGGCGAGGGGACTCGGAAGGAGGAATTGGGCGCTATGACTCATCCCTCGTCCCGCTTTCTTCCGACTCCGGTGCAGTCACCCAGGAGCGGGGGGCGTGAGAAACCCCTCCCCGCAACGAGGAGGCTGGCGGAGGGGGCTGATGCTTCTCGCCAACAGTCTGTGTTTGGCTTTGAGCAGACGCCCCCTTCTTCTTCCGCTGCTGGCAGCCTCGGCAGGCCCTCGCTGAGGCCCGGGTTTCTGTATGGCAGCCGGGCTTTTGTCCCCCTCGTGAACCCGCCGAAGCCTGCCCCGGGCGCTCCCGCATCCCGGGAGTCTGACGGCGCCTGGCGGGAGCCAGGGCAAGAGTCTCTTCCAGTCTCACCCTCGGTCCCTGGTGCCTAATAATATCGACTTCCTAGAGTTAAACTAGGTGACTGATGTAAAGGCTCCTTGTATTAATTCACATCTATGCCCCTTCATTTCCCGCTTTAAATTCGGGCTGGGCACAGAGGCTGCTTAAGGTGTGGTGTGAAAGGAGCCTCTGTTGTCCCCTGTTCAGGCTCCCTGCCTCCCAAAGCTGTGTTCTCGCCGTGCTCTCTGCACTGAGCCGGAAGGACCTTTGGTTCAGTCGAGGCAGGAATGGGTTGCCTGTTCCTGCGCTCCCATAGTTCAGCAGCTCCGGATAAATCACTGTGTCGCTGTGGAGTCTCAATATTTGGCTCCAATCAACATTATTCAATGTCACGTGGCCTTACCACAGCTTCAGAACGGTGAGTTCTTTCTGTTTCCTTAAGTGATGGTGATGCGGGGGAAGAAGATGAAGAGGGTTCTAGTATTAGTCCTCATATATTAAGCACCCTTCTTCCTCTCCCCAAACATTGCTGGAGATATCTGGTCCTGCGCCTTGCCTGCAGAACTGGTGAGTTTATGATAGAGAACAAAGAAAAGAAAAAAAAAAAGCCCTGGCTGGTTTGCTCAGTGGATAGAGCTTCGGCCTGCAGCTGAAGCATCTCGGGTTCAATTCCGGTCAAGGGCACGTGCCCAGGTTGCAGGCTTGATCCCCAGTAGGGGGCATGTAGGAGGCAGCTGATCAGCGATTCTCATCATTGATGTTTCTATCTCTCCCTCTCCCTTCCTCTCTGAAATTAATAAAAATATATTTTTTAAGAAAAGAAAGAAAAATCTTTGAGTAAAATGACATAGTGACATGGCTGCCTTTTGTGAATGATTCATGAAATAACAAAAACTCTTCCTAAGTTCTAAGAAATGTTCCAATTTTCTATCTTCCAAAAATGAGATAATTTGATTATATGCAGTTACATTTAAAGCCACTTTACTGCCCAGAAAAAAAAAATAACTTTTTATAACCCTGCCCTTGGAGAAATAGTCCAATAAACTAGGTTATCTTTCCACACTTTTATAAATGAAAACAGCACTTGATCACTGTTTGGGGAAAATGTTTTTATTGTTATTTAAAGTTACACTGCCCTGGCCATTGCGTCAGTGGTTAGAACCTCGGTCTGCACACCAAAGGGTCGAGGGTTTGATTCCTGGTCAAAGGCACATACCTAGGTTGCCGGTTCCCTCCTGACCCTGTGGGGGCACCTGTGGGAGGCAACACATCTTTGTGTCTCTTTCACATTGAAATTTCCTCTCTCTCTCCCCTCCCTTCCTTCCACTCTCTCTGAAAAAACAATAGAAAAAATATACTCAGGTGAGAATTAACAAAAACAAAACAAAACAAAACAAATAAACAACAAAAAGTTACACTGACCACAAATGCTATATGATTTATTTTTAACCTGACTTTCAGAGCATCCAAAAGCTTATGTATTCTGTTTACATAGAATTTCTTCATGTGGGTTTGGAACATCTGTATCTATAGGATACATCTATTTTAGGGGTCCCAAGAGAATTGCTAAAAACAAGAAGGTAATTATTAAGAAACTGTTAGAGGTGTTAGTACCACTCATAATTTACAATCCTTTCCATGACTTTTGTATGCATTTGCCCAAAAGTCGTAATAGCCTTGAGCCCAGGCTTTGGACATTTCAAGGTGAGCAGCTGTTACTCTTTTTATGAGTTTGAACTTTACTTACCGCAGGATACCATCTGCTATAGATCGAATGTTTATGTCTCCCCAAAACTCATATCTTGAAATCCTAACTCCCAAGATGATGGTATTAGGAGGTGGGGGCCTTTGGGAGGTGATTAGGTCAGGAGGGCAGAGCCTTCACGAATGGGATTAGTGTTCTTATGAAAGTGGCACAAGAAAGCTCCCTTGCTTCCTTCCACCATATGAGGAAGCAGGCCCTCACCAGATACCAAAACTGCCAGCACCTTGATTTTGTATTTTCCAGCTTCCAGAACTGGAAGAAAGAAAATTATGTTGCTTATAAGCTCCTCAGTCTATTGTATTTTGTTATCTCAGCCCAAACGAGGCACCATCTAAGACAGGGGTCCTCAAACTACGGCCCGCGGGCCACATGCAAATACAAATATTGTATTTGTTCCTGTTTTGTTTCTTTACTTCAAAATAAGATATGTGCAGTGTGCATAGGAATTTGTTCATAGTTTTTTTTAAACTATAGTCCGGCCCTCCAACGGTCTGAGGGACAGTGAACTGGCCCCCTGTTTAAAAAGTTTGAGGACCCCTGATCTAAGAGGTCTGCTTATTAGCAGAAAATGTATGCTTAGTTCAAAATAAAGGATAGTTGTAGGGAATGTCTGTATTGTAATATGCTATGGGTTTCACAAAGACTCAATAGAATACAGTTTTATAATAAAGGCAATATAAATATATTAGATCTATTATGAAATACATTGAGATGATTTAGTTGTGAGATCTATTTGGTCAAGAATTAGCTAAGTCAATTCCAGGAAAGCTCTTAAATGACTGTTATCTGTTGATTGTTCGCTCTGCACTAGGCACTGGATTTATTCACTAACACACATTACCTACTTCAATCCTGTAATAACAAGAAGAGGTGGACATACTTATCCCCATTTTTAAGATGAGTAAACTGAGGATTAGCAAAGTACTCAATGTCAATATCAGTGAGACTGGGATTTGAACCCAGGCTCATGTAAGTTTGTTCATTCATCCATTTGTTCATTCATCCATTCATTCAACAAATTCTGAGTTCTACTCTATGCCATGCTCTGGGTGTGATAAAATACCCCAAAATGATCTTTGTTCACTTCTATGCTGTTCTGCTTACCTTCCCTGAGGGTTTATTATTTTTCTTGAATTAATTTATTTAAAAATTTTTGTAAATCTTTCAAGATTTTACCTTCCTGTTGCACTATTTGGCCATAATGGACTTTAAAGTCCCCCAATGAGTCTAAAGGGAAATAAGCATCCTATATAATAAAAGGGTAATATGCAAATTGACCCTAATGGCAGAACAACCAGAACGACCCCTGGACCAGTAACTATGAGGCGCACTGACCACCTCTTGGTTTCTTTCCCCGGCCGGCAGGCTCCGATCGCCTGATTGCCACTGCGGCAGGGGTGGGGCTGGTGAGCAGGTGGGAACAGCCGACCTCTCATTTCCTGCCCCCAGCTGTCAGGCATCGATCACCCGATGGTGAATGGGGTACCGGGGTGGGTGGTGGTGGGGGACCTGGCCGGCTGCGGGCAGCTGGGGAAGATGGCCCTGATCACAGGCCAGGCCTAGGGACCATACCCAGGCATGAATTTCATGCACCAGGCCTCTAGTCTGAGCATAATTGATGATATTATAAAAATACTATAGGGAAAATCTTCTCTCTTCCAGCTGGTGATCAGCCATGCTCTGAAGCACAAGGATTGTTATTTCATCACTCCTGGGGTGAGTGTAGATGTACCTGTTTGTGTAAAGTGCCTGATTGTTTTCTATTCACCCACATGAGGTTCTTTAGCAATGAGTTGAACAAATTTAAAATGTCCTAGCAGCTTTTCTCATTTTTAAAAGGACAAAAGTTTACCAATGAAAATTTTAGGTGGTTTCCTATTTGCTTTTGACTACAATGCTTAATTATTAACACAACAGTCTCTTTAATTCTAAAGAATGACACTCAGAGAAGAAAGCATCTCCCCTCATTCTCTCCTGGAGTTACCAATCTTTAGTTGTAGGGGGAGAAATATCAATGAAAGGAGCTGATTTTAGACTCTGGCACTTTAAGATTCTCTGACACAAAGTTAAAAAGTGCTGAATTTACTTTGTGATTAATGATATTGCTGGATGTGTTTTGTACAATTTTGCATTATTTGGAAATTGATGGGGATGATGTTCTATTGCAAAAGAGATTCAGAGGAAACTTCTTTTAATGGGGTTATTTAGCCCATCAACATTTAATTTTATACTTGCTATATTTGTGCCATCCTTTAATAATTTCCATATTTATTTATTGTTGGTATTCCTTTGTTTTTTAAATTATGCAATTATCATAGTAAACTAAGAGTGTTTTGCTTATTTCGTACTACTGGATGATGGCCTTATTCAAATTTTGTAGTATTTCCAACTATAAGTAACATATTATTAATACTTTTGGAAAAGTTAGACAGGAGAATCTTGGAAGATGGAGGTTTAATGAGTCTTGTATCGGGGTAAGAGAGTTGGAGGATAAATCCAGGAGCCCCAACTTATGAGTAATAGGAATCCCAGAAGGAGAAAAAGGTACAGATGGAAGAAAAATCACAATTGAAACAATAATTTTCCTGAATCCAAGAGAGAGATGAGATTACAGATTGAAAGGATTTTATTTATTTATTTATTTATTTAAAAAATATTTTTATTGACTTTCCACAGAGAGGAAGGGAGAAGGATAGAGAGCTAGAAACATCGATCAGCTGCCTCCTGCACACCCCGCACCGGGGATATGCCCGCAACCAAGGCACATGCCCTTGACCGGAATCGAACCTGGGACCCTTCAGTCCGCAGGCCAGCGCTCTATCCACTGAGCCAAACCGGTCAGGGCCAGATTGAAAGGATTTTAGAATTACAGATGA